CAGCACGGGCCTGCCGGCCCAGCGGGCTCTGACCGCAGCCAGGGCTGGGCGAGTGTGTTGCGGAAGGTGAGGGCGCTGCTGCCGGGCAGCCCCAGGCGGGCCTCACACCCTTGCTGCGTGGCGCCAAGTCGGCTGGCGATGGGCGTCCTCGGCGCTGACCCCACGGACCGGCCAGTGTGTAGGTGGGGCCACGGCCTCCCACGGTGGAGGGGGCGGGCGGCCCGGCACGAGGGTCCTGTGGGAGGTCCGGAGGGCAGCGGGACCGGGCTCTGGGCCCTGGGCCCCCGCGGGAGCGGCCAGCACGGCCGCCCTGCTCCCCCCAAGGCCAAGGCTCTGTGCTGCTGGACCCCAGGCCGGGCGGCCGCCTGCTGCCAGGGCCTCGCCCGCGGGCCGGATTTCCTGCTCAGGTTGCTCTGGGAGCCCTCGCCCATCAAACCCGCTGGTGCGAGAGGGCCATAAACAGTCGGGGTGCCCTGCACCCCTCGGGCGGCAGCTGCACCCAGGCCTCGCCCTCCTGGGACATCCTGCCCCGCCCCGGGAGCCCAGGCGGCAGTCTGGCCCCAGCCCCGCCACACCAGGTCACAGGCGGTGGGGTGCCGCGAACCCCACCTGCTGGCCTCTGTCCCTCCGGCGCCGGCCACATGGCACCTCCCACCGCCTGCCCTGGGCAGCCGCAGCCTCTGCCGCCCCCACATCAGTCTCTGCCCTTCCCCATCCCTGCTCGCCTGGGGCAGCTGGACAGCCCCGGCGGGGGCAGCCCAGGCGTCCAGCCCCGTGGGCCCCAGGCTGTCCAGATCACACCTGAGTCCCCCGAGCCCCCCACTGCTGCTCCCTCCTCCTGAAGCGCCATCCACCTTCCAGCGGAGCCGGGCCTGGGTGCGATGGACGCCCGACCCGGTCAGCCTGGCCTCACGGATCGCCTCGTGTGCGGAGGGGCACGCCAGGGCGAGGCCGTGAGCCGAGGTGGGGGCTGGAGCCAGCTGGCCGGAGGCCGGGCCTGGGCGGGCAAGGCGCGGGGCAGGCCAAGGTCCCGTGCCCAGGGCCTGGGGGCTCCCCGGCGGCCTCGCTGAGCAGTGGGCGGGCCGCCTGGCTGTGCCGGCTCACCGGGATCAGCGGCCAGGGCCGGCCACGGGCCAGGTGGGAGTCTGGGGGTCCACTCAGCAGCCGGTGGGCGTGGGGTGCCGCCCTGGCCTGCCGCCCCCTCCAAGCTCAGGCCTGGGAGCAGGGGCCTTGGCACCCCTGTGGCCGGGCGGGGACAGGCCCTGCACGAGGGAGAGAAGGCCGAGCCCCTCGCCAAGCCCCCACCGGTCAGGGGCCGAGGTGGACCCTTCCCGGACAGACCCAGGGTGCTAGCAAGCGGCCCAGGCCACTGCCCCGTCTCTTCTAGAGCTCTGGAAGCTTCTGGTGGGACAGAGGTGTCCACAGGAGGCACAGGGAGGGC